GAAAGCTTGACTCCGTCCATGTCATTAAGGTCGACTCTACTTTGAGGAGGCAGTGCTTCCCAGTCATATTTTGAGTGTCTCCCAAGCTGAAGAGTTCATCTTCTGGCACTATATCAATGTTCCACTGCTATTCATAAGGTTTTCCCTTCATGATTCTTTTCAGAAGTAGACTGCCAGGTCTTCATTCCTAGTCTGCCTTAATCTGAAAGCTCAACTGAAACCTGTCCGCCATGGATGACCCTGCTGGTATTTGAATACTGGTGGCATAGCTTCCAGCATCACAGCCTCACATCTCAAGCCCCCACAGTATGAAAATCTGACAGACTCGTGGGGAGAAATAAATGAATAGGTTCCCATAAAAAATGAATAGCAGACAATAGTTTTGAAACTGTCACTTCTGCTTCTGTAATAAGAAGCTCAGATTCTGCCCATCTCTATTCTCATCACTATTCAGGCTACCCGTGTAAAAATGTATCGGAGTAGTGGATAGTGCCTTTCAGATGTCATGACTTTGCCTAATTACTAACTTACCACGTGTACAAAGAATGTGTAAAATGAAGAAGGCCACCAGGAGTCGGAGAAGCGCAGCTGTATTCATCTCATCTGTACTGTTTACTTCGAGGATGGAGCCTGAAAAATGAATGACAGATAATTTCCTAGTTAGCTCCCCAAACAACACTATTTCTAGTTCTATATTGGAGGTAAAATTCTATATTTCAAGTAAACTGTAGACCTAGCGTGAAGTTTGGATCTCCATTGATAAGCTAAGGGATTTCATTACTCCCAAGGACCACACAGATTAGTGGTAGCAGCGGTGAAGGATGGTGGGGTTGAGGAGTAAAGTGATGGGGAACATAAGGGAGATCTTTGTGGTGATGGGATCATTCTGTATCTTGATTTTGAAAGTGATAAAATTATACAAAATATATTTCATCAGTGAAAATTTTCTGATATTGATATTGTACTACAGGTAGTCCCTGACTTATGGTGCATTTGTGTTATGATGGCAAACCACACTGACGACTGTTTTTTTGTTTTTGGTACATCTTATCGTTAGTAATATGTGCTACATAGAGTGTTGCAGCATGTAATTTGCTGATCTTATCATTCTCATGCCAACCCTCAAAGACAAATAAAAATCGCATTTGTAAAAATACTGATAATAAAAGGTAACAATAATGAAGACTTAAGGGAAAAAAAGAAGTATTCGACGTAGGACAGATCCGACTTATGACGGAGTTGTCTGAATGGAAACCCGTCATAAGTCAGGGACTACATGTACAGTTACATAAGATGTAACCATTAGGGAAAACTGAGTAAAGGGTACATGGGTTCTGTCTGTACTATTTGTCACCTTCCTATGAATCTATAATTATTTCAACTCACAGCGACCCTATAGGACAGAGTAGAACTGCCCCGTAGAGTTTCCAAGGAGCTCCTGGTGGTTTCGAACTGATGACATTTTGGTTAGCAGCTGTAGCACTTAACCACTACGCCACCAGGGTTTTCTACTTCAAAATAAAAACTTTGAAAAAAGAATATTATATGGTACAAGACAAAAAAT